CTCATGGATATACAATTACACGATATCATTCCTCGCCATGAGGGCGGAACTATCGTATAGCACTCGGGCCCGTCGGGCCCTCCGTGCTATACGAAAATATCTCCGCCTCGGGTTGGCGCCCTCGTGGAGATATAAAATATTGCACACGCGTGCAATATTTAGTACCGCCCTCAAGGCTGCAGTTATATCTATATATATATTGGTCCTAGGACCACTCAAACCAAGTTTGGGAATCACTACATGTCTAGAACCGATTTAAACAATGTTCCGACATTTTCCAATTTTGTCCCAATATTCCTCCTGAGTATCCAGATTTTTGGAACAAGGGGACATCGAAGTATTGGCTGTATTTGATCAGTGCTGGGAAGAATATAAACTCTTTCCGACAAATTTTAAACCTTTCTGAGAAGTTTTAGGAGAATATTCATTTTTGTTCATTTTCGTTCATTCCATGAACCTGGGTAATGTTATGCGACTTTTGATGGCTCCTAGGCCTAGTTTATAACTATATCCATCTTAGAAAACCGAATTGAGGCGTCCCAGCACTCAAATACAGCCAATACTTCGATGTCCCGATGTCCCCAAAATGGTTCCAAAAATCAAAATTAGAACCACCCTCACATCGGTTCTAGGCATGCAGTGATTCTCAAACTTGGTTTGAGTGGTCCTAGGACCAATATAAACTCTTTCCGACCAATTTTAAACCATTCTGAGCACTTTGAGGATAATGTTCATTTTCGTTCATTTCTGGTCATTCCATGGGTAATTTTATACGAATTTTGATGGCTCCTAGGCCTATCTTACGGCTATATATCCATCTTAGAAAACCGAACTGAGCCTTTCCAGCACTCAAATACGGCCAATACTGCGATGTCCCCATGTTCCAAATTTATGGATTCATCTACTGAAGATTTTGTTTGTTTTGATATTCCATAAGAATTTCATCCACGCACTGTCACGTATTTTGATGACGTGTATGACGTGACTCACTACTACGACGCGCATTGGTAAAATATGTCACGTGACCTATGACTTAACGTAAGAAATATACATTATATTTTCGGGGGGTCAATTGTCGGGAGTCAATTGTCGGGGGGTCAATTGTCGGGGGGTTAATTATCGGGGGGTCAATTGTCGGGGGGTCAATTGTCGGGGGGTCAATTGTCGGGGGGTCAATTGTCGCCCACCCGTTCCAGAGCTTGTCTCGACGGCAACGGTTACATTTGTCCGGTAAATTTTGTCGTAGCAATTGCACTTCATGCCACGATCAACTCCACATTTTATCGCTTGCCAGGCTTAACCATTAACTCGTTAACGGGTGATGCTCGTAAAATATTTGTTCCAAAATATTTGTTCCAAATATTTGTTCCAAGACCGTCGACGAGTCCAACTCTGCGTGCGTGTTGGTAGGATATAAACCTACAATTAACTCGACGCCCCTAATTATTGATACTCATTCAACGTTCTGGCTGACTGAGAAATATTGTTTAAATAAAGGCCAATTTCAAATGTCATAGTACCTTAGTTTTACTTTTATTTATTTAGTACTAGTAGTATAATGTACGTCCCAATTCCATTTCATATTTTCCATATAGTTAGAATGAAAGGTAAATATTAAAACGAATTGGCCCTATATATAGCATAGCGCTATATATAGCACTTATCAACACCCCGGAGGTGTTTATATTATAAATTATAATACAAAATACGGGCGCCACGCTCAACTTCAAGGTTATATTAAAATAACCCCTCTTACTAAAGCACGTCGGTGGGAAAAGTGTGATTACTGGAGTGTGACTGTGATTACTTGATTACTAAACTAATTGCACTATTTTTATTTCAAAATTCAAATAAACTTGACATCAATGTATTACATTTATATTTAGAAAAGACCACAATATCTCCTGTGAGGCAAAAACATGGAAAAAGAGAGCTAGAAAAATATTCATGAGACTCAACACTACCAGACTGCAGCTGGAGTGAGAAACATTATAGTAAAATTTATTTCGGCTGCACCAAAACACGGTGGTGAAACCATAATTACATTGGTGCCGACCCTACATAAAATCATTAATAAATAATCAAGAGAACAAATTAAAATGTATACGATACCTTCTTGCTACTACTCCACAAACTTACACGACATAACAACAAAATAACATAATTATATATTATAATATACCAATCTTTATCTATCTAACCACTCGATGGATCTTCACGTACTGCGTGACGCGCTTGTTTCATAGAAGAAAAAAAGGCGCGTTCTACTGCAGGTGCGAATAAATTTAAATAAAATATATAATAGTCTAATCAGGCCAGCATACGTCAGAAGACCAAAGAAATTCAGTTAGCTTTGTTTTGAAAATAGAAATTTTCTCAGTTTGTCTAAAACCGTTGCCCTTATATTCACAACACTATGTACCCCCTATACTATTATATCCCCTTTATTGTTTTCCAGGCATTAAGAGTCATCGAAAGTAGTTCAGCAGGTATATTTAAGTTCAAAACATTCTAATTCAATGTTAAAGATGACAGGAATAAGAAATAGTTATGTGGGTTATGTGGGTAAAAAACCCAAAATCGCCATATTCAGGTGCCTTAAAAACCATTTTAAAATTGAGTTAGAGATCTGAAACTTTGCAGAGCGTCTAGACCTTGTCCAAATCGACTGTAAAAAAAATTTATGTTGCAGGAGTATCGGGAAGTGGGTTTTCTGGAACCCCTGTTTTACAACAGATTGTCGTGAAGCTATATATATATGTATATATGTATAGACGCTTTTGCAGTAAATTGTAGCCTACATAAACATTTAAGTGTCCGTAGATTCAAAAGTATAAAAGATACAGTCATTTCGAACCACAGGTTTTAAAGATAATTGTTTATACTTTAATTTACATTATATCGAAAAATAATTTATCGTCATCATCATCACTTGATGACGTCATCAATTTAAGTGTTTTTAAAACTTGATTTTTGACAAAATAATAACTTTTCAAATCGATTTTAAAGCATTAAGAAGTAATTTTATTCAAAATCTGAGGAAATTTTCACCTTAGATAATTGTTCAAGCATTCTGAAAATCTACCGGAAAGTTTTCCTACCTTGCTCCTTCATAAAGATATTCGCTATTGAAGTTTGTGCTTTTTTGAAGAATAATTTTATAAAAACACAAAAGTTGTGAATTAGTATTCTCTGGTGTTGGGCCATCCCTTGGGTTGTGGAGCTTAATTTTGCTTCCTAAAGGTCTAAATTGTGTTATAGGCTAGTTTTAAAGTTGAAAATCGAAAAGTTGCACACGTGGGGACACGCCCAAATTCATTTAAAATAGCTAAAATCACTAAAAATTGTTATTTTCACGATTTTTACCAACTTTGGAGTCCCGTTGTGATCCAACTTCTTTTTGAAATCTTCTGAAACTTTTCATGCTTATCAAACTATATATTAAATAACACTATGCAAAAATTTATGGTGATTCAATATTTTATGCGCACGCAACGTCCGCTCAAAGTTTGCACGTGCGAAAGGTGAGAATTTTGCTCATTCGTGATTTCGAATATATTCTGCTTTCCCACGATATTAAAATGGCATTATATATGAATTTAATGCCAACTTGAATGAGTAAAAAGTGCTATATTCAGTCTGTTATTGACAGATATGCCTACCTAAACACAAGGAAACGTTTTGAAAGGTAAAATTTCGAAATCGTTGAAATTACCTCCTTATTAAGTTTCGACTGTGTAAATTATCCTGACATTATAATCAAAAAGAGATGATATTTGACCAAAACCCATAATCATGGGTAGAGTGAACCGCTGCCAGTGTCTCTCTTTTCCAAACAAAAGAAAATGATATTAATTTGAGGAACCGTCCGCAAATGCAAATTGATACCGAGAATGAAATCGGTCGCTCGCTTTTCCCATTCATTCACGGCTTACGTATTGTAATAAAGCTTATTGAATGGGAAAAGCGAGCGACCGATTTCATTCTCGGTATCAATTTGCATTTGCGGACGGTTCCTCAAATTAATATCATTTTCTTTTGTTTGGAAAAGAGAGACACTGGCAGCGGTTCACTCTACCCATGATTATGGGTTTTGGTCAAATTATAATATACCAATCTTTATCTATCTAACCACTCGATGGATCTTCACGTACTGCGTGACGCGCTTGTTTCATAGAAGAAAAAAAGGCGCGTTCTACTGCAGGTGCGAATAAATTTAAATAAAATATATAATAGTCTAATCAGGCCAGCATACGTCAGAAGACCAAAGAAATTCAGTTAGCTTTGTTTTGAAAATAGAAATTTTCTCAGTTTGTCTAAAATAGGCTGGCAATGCATTCCACAGAAGCATCTCTATTATAATTCGGAGAATTATTTCTGTTTGTCTGTACGACCGCCCACGTGCAAAACAAACGAAAAATATGAACTTGCGTAGTAACCATGGTAACGAGGGTTGTTACACGCACGTGCACGTGCAAAGATTGTTGAAACGGCATTTTTTATCGTTTTTGTTGATATTACGTTGTGTTTAGTGCGAGCAACATTTTAATTGGCTGTATCTTCGGTTGTGTAGGATATTTTTTGACGCGATTTAAACTTACTAACAAAAAATACTATTAGCTTCCTCCCTGTGACCACGGGTTTTCTAGTGTTTTAATAATTCGGTTATTTTGTTTTCAGGAGAGACTAATTGGGAAACTCAACAAAAAGATGTTTGGTTTCCACACTCCTGGGAGGATACACCTTTTCAAGTGAAGACAACCTCCTCGATAGGAAGTGATGATGAAATCTTTTTTGAAGTTGGGCAAATTAGAGGCAGCGGTTTTGCAAGAATTGTAGTGCGATTAAGTAATACTCCTATCTTCTTCATTGCCGAGTGCCAACATGACGCAACGCTGCAAGATCTACCCGACGCCAAAAATGACGTGAGGATTTGGACATTCATTAAGCAGGGATTGGAAAGTATTTCAATCAAGTGTAACGGAGTATTGGTGGCAGAAATGAATTTTGACGAATCTGATAAAGAAGATTGTTTGTCCTCAGAGTGGGTGACTAGTACAGTAGAATTCATCAAGTTTAATCCTGATTGGGATAAAACAGTGGGTTTCAGAGTTGGTGATACAGGTGGGTTAATATTGTGATATCATTACCTGGGGACCCTAGGCTATTCCGCCGAATAGAAATTCGTCGGAATGACAGGCTGAGCACCGCGCCCAGTACATACGACCGCCCACGTGCAAATAGATGAGAAATAGGTATAGGTATATACTTATATAATAGTAACGGGGGTTATTTCACGCACGTGCACGTGCAATGATTGTTTTAACGTCATTTTTATCGGTTTTGTGGTAATTACGTTGTGTTCAGTGCGAACTAAATTTTAATGGGCTGTAATTATTCGGTTGTGACGGATATTTTTTGATGCGATAAAAACTGACTACCAAAGAATACTATTACCTTTCTCCGTGTGATCACGGGCTTTCTAGTTGTTCTATAAAAGAAGCTGTTTCTGAAACTATCGCAGTTCGGTACAATAGAGCAGGTATATGTGCTGGTGTCAAGTCCTTCAATTACTGACGCCGTGCTCCTTGTGTACCTCATTGTTCCAGCTTCAACAACAGTAATATATTCAGGTAGAGATATACTTACCAAATCATTTACTATTTTATAGAAGAGCGCAATTGAATTATGGATGAACTTAGATCTAATCGGTAAAATTTTAAGCTCCTTCTGCTTCTCATAGAATACAATGTCGCTATAATGATCAAACTGTTGTCCATTGATCCATTTGATCGCTCTTTTCTGGATTGCCTCAAACTTCGACAGGTGTGTTGATCGCTGAGGACACCATATAACTGAGCAATGTTCAAAGATTGATCTTACAATGGTAAGGTAGAAAGCCCTCTTTTGGCGTTTATCAATGGTAAAATGACAGGTTCTCTTTAAGAGCCCAAGCTTCGAGCTTGCTTTAGATATCAATTGATCACAATGTGCACCCCACAGAAACCTGTTGGTCATTATTACACCAAGATCTGTATGGGATGCCACATAATCAATTATGACTTCATTAAGATTATACCAACAAATATTAAAAGGAAGATTGTCTAATACATTTCTTTGCAGAGTTACAGATAACACCTTACACTTTGAAGGGTGAAAAGTCATTTTGTTATCGATTGACCAGGCAAACAACCTGTCTAAATCTCCTTGGAGAATATAGTGGTCTTCAAAGCATTCGATGACCCTCCAAATTTTGATGTCATCTGCATACAATGCTACATTTGTATCCTCCGAAACACACGAGAACATGTCGTTGATGAATAGAACAAACAGAAGTGGCCCCAAAATAGATCCCTGGGGCACTCCTGATTGCACGGGAAGCGTGCTTGAGACAGCTCCGCCTACAACAACCTGCTGTCGTCTGTCTTGTAAATACGACTTCAAAAATCTAAGCATCAGACCATATAAATTTTTTAGCTTGCGAAGGATAAGGTCATTAGGTCAATTGCCTTAGCAAAATCAAAATACACAATATCGGATCTTGACTTATTGTTCAGGGCCAGTGCAAGGTTGTCTGTGAATGGGACCATCTGGGTGGTGCAAGACTTCCCATTCACAAAACCGTGTTGTCTACAGTCGATTAACCCTTCACAATCTGCGAGCAACTCTTTCGAAATACAACGTTCAAAAACTTTCATAACTAAGCATGTCAGTGAGATGGGTCTGTAATTTTCAACAGATCCTTTTTCACCCTTCTTGTGTAATGTGTACCGGAACAACAGAAGCAAGCTTCCATTCCTCCGGCACACATCCAGTCATAAAAGAGGTGTTGAAAATCATGGTTAGAGGCTTTGCAAGAGTGCTCGCACAACACAGTGCGTTTAGTCCCTTTCAAAATTAACAACACATCTAACACGTGAAATCTCAAATCCATGAAATTGTTACTGGAGCTCATGTCGATGTCAATGTCATATGAGCTACTTGAGGAGAATTATTGATAGAAGTATTCATTGAATAAGCTAGCCTGTTCAACTGGTGTGTTCCTAAAACGATCACCGTATCGGACCGTTTTCAGGTATCGTGTGTCCAAAACTCTTTGGAAATAAGGGCAGAATCAGAATCATCTTCGACACTGAGTCTCATCTTTTCGTTCATAATGCGTTTAAAATCTTTGCGGTACTGACGGAACTTTTCAAGATCAGACTCATTGCCAAATTCATTAGCCTTTTCTCTCCATTTCTCTTTATCTCTTAAAACCCTATCACAAAAAAATTAGAAAATTCCATGTAATTGTCGTCGCTTAGAGTTCCCACTCAATAAAAAGTCGAAATACACAACTTTCTACCAGTCGGAAGCTTCAAGACAACAGACAATAACTCAGCTTGAGCTTTCACTACAGATATCCTAGTAATAGTAACATCTAGATCAAATCTACGAGGAAATCAGAAAAAAGAATCATGATATCATGTTCCGCAATTTGCTGCCCATACGCTAACATAAGTTTGCATTAGTTGCAAGAGCGTAATAATATAGCTCAATAATATTATAATATAGTCTTATAGTGTCAATATAAAGTAGCCACACGCGTCACGCTAGGGCTACGGGGGCGGGGTGACAATTATCTCGGATAACCGTCATTCCATTTCCGGGCCCTCGTACCCGTTATCCGTCAAAATTTTAGGTTCGCGTGACTGCACCGCGAGCAAATCACAAAAAATAATCATCTTGACATAATATACAGATCACGTGACATCGTATTCACTTTCAGTATTCACTGCTCTGAGCTGAGACCCTATGTCGACGCTTTATAGTGTGACCAGTCGCTGTTTATATTTTGGGCCCCATATTGAAGTTGATTGTTTGTTGCCAAGTTGTGGTACTGGTAGTGGACCACTATTAGTGGTAGTGGTACATTTAAAGATTTGACAGTTGCGTGGACTTATCGTCCAAAGAAGCAACATGCAAATCAACCTGATATTGATAATGGACGACTGAGCGTTTCACAGCAATTGATGACAGCAATTACATACTATAGTACTAATAGTACTTCTATAATTTCTAAGATAAAACAACGCCGCGTAGAGTATATTACTCGCAAAACAAAAATGTTATAGTGTTATGCCTTTCAATTAATGATTATCAACTACTCCCACAGCTACAGAGGGATCAGAGTGCCCAGATGGATATTGGATGTGCTCGAACGGTGAGAAATGTATTTATGACAGCTGGGTATGTGATGTTTTTACGGATTGTTACGATGGATCAGATGAAACAAACTGCCCAGAGTCAGGTTGAGTGTCTACAAACTTATTTGTAAACTTTCTATCAAATCATATTTAAATTTGTATGATAGGTTATAACTTTATAATTGTCGCGAAAATGTTATAGTGTTATGCCTTTCAACAATTAATGATGATCAACTACTCTCACAGCTACAGAGGGATCAGAGTGCCCAGATGGATATTGGATGTGCTCGAACGGTGAGCAATGTATTGATGACAGCTGGGTATGTGATGGTTATACGAATTGTTACGATGGATCAGATGAATTTGAAACAAACTGCCCAGTGTCAGGTTGAGTGTCTACAAACTTATTTGTAAATATATATATAAATATTTATGGACGACTGAGCGTTTCACACCAACGAACCAACTTAAATGTATTAATGTTTTTAAAGCACATGGATATGGCGATTTTGGGCTATTCTTCATTATTGTCATCTCTAACATTGACTTAGAGTATTTTGAACTAAAACTACACCAAAAACCCGCTGATAGAGACCAGATGAGTCTAAGTGAACGAAAAAATAGTCTAGTTCGTGGGTATAATAGTAAAAGGAGTATATTGGTTGACGGTCGTCCGTCGTGCTTGCCAGCACTGTGATACCTTTCAATGAATAATTATTAACTACTCCCACTACCCTTATAGTAGCAGGAGGTAATTGAAGACCTGATTTCTAGAAAAGTTGTAGACACCAAACTGTATGCTCGATTTCAATAAGCTTCTAGAGTAGATATTTTCACTCGCCCAAGTGAAAATGAGTTTTTCTGGATTTTTTCCAAAAGTATGCATTTTGGGCTTTATGACGTTTATAGTGTCAATATAAACATGAGTTTCGCGGTCATTTTAAGTCAAAATTTAAGTATCTTTGACCTTCAGAAGCTGAGATACAAATTTGATGAAATTTGTGCCTAAGCCTGAGATTAAAATTAGTTTTTGCAGATATCTCGGAAAAAAACAATTTCAGACCATACATTGATTAATAAGTTGTATATAAATGTGGCCATTGAGGTAATTTAAGTCAAAGTTTCTATGATTTTTGGTTTAAAATGACCTAAAAAACAACCATGTGTTGTCAGAAAACGTGCACACTCAACTACTCCCTGCTACTAGAGTATAGCGAACTTAAATTGTAAATGTTTTATAAAATTGTATTTTTTTGATAACTTATAATTGTAACAAAAATATTATAGTGTAATGCCTTTCAATGAATGCTGATCAACTATCAGATTGCGGATATGGATATTGGATGTGCTCGAACTATGAGCAATGTATTCCTGATAGCTATGTATGTGATGGTGAAACGAATTGTTACGATGGATCAGATGAATTAAACTGCCCAACGACAGGTTGAGTGTCTACAAACTTATTTGTAAATTTTCTATCAAATCATATTTAAATTTTTATAATAGCTTATTATAGCTTTATAATAATTGTCGCGAAAATGTTATAGTGTCATGACTTTCAACAAATGATGATCAACTACTGCCCATGCCACAAAGAAAGTTTTCTGAATTTATTATTTTTATAACTCAACTAATTTTAAAATAATACTCATTTTTCAGATCCAGGTTGTTGGTATTGTTCGAATTTAACTGAAACTCCTGCAGTTATATGGGGGGGAGACTCCCAAGGTAAATACCATATATATTCATATTTCATATTAATCATATCGGCAACAGACTTCTGGAGTCTTAGAGCTCTGTTACCTTGACAAGTACGCTGCAACCCCTTTTGATCGCGCGTGGCGGCTGGCTGGCCGGAGTGCACGCTTCGCGTGCACGAGAGAGGTATACAACGTGTAGCAACTGTTACCACTGCACCTGGTGCAACTCCATCGGTTAAGGAGTCGCAGCCGACTTTGATTATTGCGGTTATTTCACGAGGCGCAGCCAAGTGTGATAACTGGTCATGGTATAATCGTATTTTACATGAAGTTTTTCCTCCTCCAGGTTAAATGAAACTTGTGACCGGACAGGGAGTAAAATGAAACTTGTGATCGGACAGGGAGTTAAATGAAATTTGTGACCGAACAGGGAGTTAAATGAAACTTGTGACTGGACAGGGAATTAAATGAAACTTGTGACCGGACAGGGAGTTAAATGAAACTTGTGACCGGACAGGGAATTAAATGAAACTTGTGACTGGACAGGGAACTAAATGAAACTTGTGACCGGACAGGGAGTTAAATGAAAATTGTGACCGGACAGGGAGTTAAATGAAACTTGTGACCGGACAAGGAGTTGAATAAAACTTGTGACTGGACAGGGAATTAAATGAAACTTGTGACCGGACAGGGAATTAAATGAAACTTGTGATCAGACAGGGAATTAAATGAAACTTTTGACCGGACTGGGAATAGAATGAAACTTGTGACCGGACAGGGAGTTACATAAAACTTGTGACCGAACAAGGAGTTAAATGAAACTTTTGACCGGACTGGGAATAGAATGAAACTTGTGACCGGGCAGGGAGTTACATAAAACTTGTGACCGAACAAGGAGTTAAATGAAACTTGTGACCGGACTGGGAATAGAATGAAACTTGTGACCGGACAGGGAGTTAAATGAAACTTGTGACCGGACAGGGAGTTAAATGAAACTTGTGACTGGACAGGGAGTTAAATGAAACTTGTGACCGGACATGGAGTTAAATGAAACTTGTGACTGGACAGGGAGTTAAATGAAACTTGTGACCGAACAAGGAGTTAAATGAAACTTGTGACTGGACAGGGAATTAAATGAAACTTGTGACCGGACAGGGAATTAAATGAAACTTGTGATCAGACAGGGAATTAAATGAAACTTTTGACCGGACTGGGAATAGAATGAAACTTGTGACCGGACAGGGAGTTACATAAAACTTGTGACCGAACAAGGAGTTAAATGAAACTTTTGACCGGACTGGGAATAGAATGAAACTTGTGACCGGGCAGGGAGTTACATAAAACTTGTGACCGAACAAGGAGTTAAATGAAACTTGTGACCGGACTGGGAATAGAATGAAACTTGTGACCGGACAGGGAGTTAAATGAAACTTGTGACCGGACAGGGAGTTAAATGAAACTTGTGACTGGACAGGGAGTTAAATGAAACTTGTGACCGGACATGGAGTTAAATGAAACTTGTGACTGGACAGGGAGTTAAATGAAACTTGTGACCGAACAAGGAGTTAAATGAAACTTGTGACCGGACTGGGAATTAAATGAAACTTGTGACCGGACAGGGAGTTAAATGAAACTTGTGACTGGACAGGGAATTACATGAAACTTGTGACCGGACAGGGAATTAAATGAAACTTGTGACCGGACAGGGAGTTAAATGAAACTTGTGACTGGACAGGGAATTAAATGAAACTTGTGACCGGACAGGGAGTTAAATGAAACTTGTGACCGGACAGGGAGTTAAATGAAACTTGTGACTGGACAGGGAATTAAATGAAACTTGTGAGTTGTGACCGGACAGGGAATTAAATGAAACTTGTGACCGGACAGGGAGTTAAATGAAACTTGTGACTGGACAGGGAATTAAATGAAACTTGTGACTGGACAGGGAATTAAATGAAACTTGTGATCAGACAGGGAATTAAATGAAACTTTGACCGGACTGGGAATAGAATGAAACTTGTGACCGGACAGGGCGTTACATGAAACTTGTGACCGAACAAGGAGTTAAATGAAACTTGTAACCGGACTGGGAATAGAATGAAACTTGTGACCGGACAGGGAGTTAAATGAAACTTGTGACCGGACAGGGAATTAAATGAAACTTGTGACTGGACAGGGAGTTAAATGAAACATGTGACCGGACAGGGAGTTAAATGAAACTTGTGACCGGACAGGTACTAGGGAGTTAAATGAAACTTGTAACCGGACAGGGAGTTAAGGGGGCCGGGGGGTCTTAATCAAAATTCTCTCAAAATTGACTTTTTAGTTGTTTCTGATAAAGGGGAGTAATATCTATCAGCTGCTTTTTGTTCCTCACTCTGGAGTGGGTCCGAGCAGTAGACTTGCGCTACTGACACCCGGGAATGGTAATGCACGGATACAGTTAACGCCGTGTAGCAAGAGCTTCAGAGGATCCTGCCTGCTGCAGGTATGCTGAGTGGCAGATGCGACAAGCGCACTACTTCCAGCGGACATCAAGATGGCAGTCTGGCCATCAGAGTTATTCAGAACACTCTCCCTTTTAACTAGAAACATGTTGATGTCACAGTTTCTAGCCTACTTCTGCTGTAAGAACCTCCTCACAGCATGATGACTTTAGGTTCTGTGTACTGAGGCACAAAACCCCCCTATTTTACTCTCCCTCACTGTCTGTGTGTGGCTGCAGACCCTCAGTTCTCTTATCAGTCATTTTTTGGTTGCTTGAGATCTTGGACTTGTTGCTAGTGGGCTACCAACCCCTAGCTTTACTCTGGTACTCGCAAAGTTTTTTGCCACGCACCCGTTTATCAACATTACAACGAACTAAACAACCACAGCACTAGGGTTCCAGCCCCTACCTCTCCTTCTGATAGTCCAGCTCATGATGACGCTGCACCTTTAAACCCTTCGGGGAGAGAAGCAGCTGATGGTATCTGGGTTAAAAGAAGGACCATCAAAAAACCAAAAATCAACAAAAAATCTCAGAATCCTTTTACCTTTCTACTTACAATATAAGATCTCTCACTGAAGAATGGAAGCAATGGGAACTTGTGTGCAAAGCCAAAGCCTTTGACATACCTGTGATTGCACTTCAAGAGCATCGTATTAAGAAGACTCCTTATATAATGCGTGATGGCTACAAGTTCCTCCTAGCATCTCCTCCCCCTAAAAGTAGAACGCTCCTCGGACTTGGCTTCCTCCTTTCCCCTTGGGCCCAACGCTGCTACATCGACCATAATTTATTCTCAGACAGGATAATGTCTGTTTCTTTTACCGGTGAAGTTTGCACACACTTAGTTACTTGTCATTCACCTACTAATATATCTACAGACCTTGAAGTTGAACAGTTCTATGCAGAGTTAACTTCTTGTGTCCGATCTTTTCCACCTCATGACGTAGTAGCTATAGCTGGTGACCTGAATGCTCACCTTGGAAAAGACACCTGCAACACCAACGCATTTTATGAATGTACAAACCGAAACGGACAGCATCTTCTTGATTTTGCCCAAGAAAACGCGTTCACCATCGGTGCGCTAAAGTTTAACAAAAAGCATTCTAAAAAGGTGACTTGGACAGCACCAAATGGTCAACTGCATCAGAATGACCACATCCTCATTCGCTCAAAATGGCAGAATTCACTTAAAAACTGTGAGTCATACATTAATCCCTCGGTTCAATCTGACCATCGGATTGTCACAGCGACTATCAAGCTGTCAATAAGGACCAACATCGTCCGACCTAAGGTAATCAAGTATGACTAGGAGGAGTTAAAAAGTAACACTGCAACTTCAACAGCCTTCCAACTCCAGCTCCAGAATAGGTTCACTGCCTTAATGGATGAAGAGAACGAGACTGATGACATCGTCCAACACAACCAGCATGCATACACCAACATGATAAGTGCTATTAATGACACAGCAGAGAAAGTACTTCCCAAAAGGAAGAAGACTAGTCTAACTGCTCATATTTCATCTAATCCTGAGTACCGGGCTGCTGTCAAGGCACGAGATGCTGCGTTGAAAGATAGTCACAAAAGAAAGACACGAGCTGCTACTAAAGCCCTCCGTGATGCCACCCTTGAAGTCAGGAAGGTCGAAACCAGCATACAAGAAGCGTTTGTTAATAAGACAATTGATCAAGTAGATCAGCTGTTTATTCCGCAACCCGCAAACCACCCAGGGTATGCAGCATGGCAGACAATCAAACAGCTCTGGTATTGCGTGGAAGCTTATAAATGACCTTACCAATCGTAAGCCTAAATCTATGTCTCCATTACCTGGATATAGAAACAAGGCAGATCGAGCAAAGGCGTGGACTGACCACTACAGCAAACTGCTTTACAATCCTGCTGACAACATCAGAATGGGTAGCTTTGAAGTCCAAAAGCCAGAACTCCCAATTGAAACGTCACCGTTCTCAGCAGATGCACTATCTACAGCTCTCAAGCAGACAAAGGACACGTACGGTCATGACGGAATTCCTTCTCTGCTGTACAAGTGTGTTGACTTGGACACTACTTTACTATCTCTGTTCAACAACATGCTAGCTACTGGTAAAGCCCCGGAAGAGCTTCTTGTCACTGCCATTCTTCCTATACCCAAAGGAGCTAAAAAGTTCTGTCCTGAAAATAGCAGAGGCATCTCCATCCTCCCTGTTGCCACGAAAATCTACAACAGGCTGCTTCTAAACCGAATCAGGAGCCACATAGAACCTCGCCTCCGATACAACCAGAATGGTTTCCGGCCTGGAAGAGGGACTCGTGAACAGATTCTGGCTCTTAGACGTATCATCGAAGAGGTTGTGAACTTCCAGCTTCCTTGTGTCATCTCCTTTATTGACTTCTCAAAGGCCTTTGACTGCATCTTCAGATCGCATCTTCCCGACATCCTGGCTTCCTACGGCTTTCCTAAAAAAATCATAAAAGCCATTATGTCACTCTACATCAACACCAAGGCTAAAATCATGACCCCTGAAGGTATAACCTTAGAATTCCTTACCAACCTCGGAATTCTCCAGGGCGATGTTCTTGCACCACTCATTTTTATCATTGTCCTGGATTTCATACTAAGACTAGCAATAGGGCCACGTGATGGGTTTAAAGTTGGAAGTAACTACATTGCTGATTTGGACTTCGCCGATGACCTAGCAACAATTACTGACAGCTTCAGCGAAAATGGCCGCCTTTGCCAAAGCATTTCTGACATAGCAGCCCGTTATGGTCTCCTTATTAACATCGGAAAGACCAAATACATGTCCTATAACATCCCGCGACCTGTCAACTCAGACGATAGAGTCTTTATTAACGGCAACCCTTTAGAAGAAGTTCATGACTTTAAGTACCTAGGATCCTTTATAGCCTCAACAAGCAGAGACATCAATGTCAGGAAAGGCCTCGCATGGAAAGCTTTACAGAGTCTAGATGCTTTTTGGAAATCTAATATGTCCAGGAAGATCAAGACTAAGATTTTTCGAACTGCAGTAGAACCTGTGCTGCTGTATGGTGCAGAAACCTGGACTCTTAAAAAGGCTGATATCAGAGCACTAGACGGTGTTTATACTAGAATGCTACGAAGGGTCTTTGGTATCTCATGGAAATCACATACACCTAACTCCGTTCTTTACGGAAAGATTCCATCGGTGACAGATACTATAAAGACACGAAGACTTCGTTTTGCAGGACATGTCTACCGTCTACAGGACCAACCTGCTCAACAACTCCTTTTCTGGCAACCATCCTATGGCCAGCGTTATCGAGGACGACCACATAAGACCTTCCCGGACGTCCTACTTGAAGACACTGGAATGGAACCTGACCAGCTGCATTTACTCATGTGTGATAGGGATAAATGGAGAGAAGCGTTGACACGAAACTCGTTCCAGATTTCATCTGGATCGACCTAGGCAGGTAGGCAGGCTTTTAGTCCCATGGAAAAATATTGTTCCTAATCGTAATTATCGCCGGTCAAAGGTCAGCCAGCGCTTATGCAGTATGCGTTCTGAAAATCTTGGACCGACAAAAATGTGGGAAAGAGCGGTTATACTGCGGTTCTAAGTTGATATAATAAGCTATTGCCTATTGGAGTCTTTCCTTTGTTGAAGAGATGGCTAGTCCCTTCTTTGGCATAAGTTAAACCCATGTTTGAGCCACCCACCCCTCTAAAAATCGACAAAAATCGAGGTTAAATATTATCAAAATCAAATTAAAAATCTTTAAATGCCTATCACAAAATTTTGACTCTAGTGTTCTCTTCTAACTGATCCTAAGATCATATTCTGAAAGTTTGAGGGTGATTGTAGATGGTTTTGCGGTTTAAATATTTTACTGTTACTCTTTTGCAGATAAGACACAGACTTCTTGGACGATCATTGGCATTGTAATACTAATAGCGGCTCTATTATTAGTCGCCGTGGTTTTGTGTATTTGTAAAAAAGTATCAAGACAGCATGTGATGGAACAACACACAGTACGTCCCACCAACCTACCAATTGTTGTTCCAGTGCAACTGCAGCCAGCTATAAATGTGCGAGAGGAGCCGCTGTCTTCAGATCCATCTCTGCCTAATGTTGCTGTGGATAATGATCAATACGTTCCAAGTTATGAAGAATTAATGGGTTATCCGGTGGGCCCACCAATTGTTGTTCCAGTGCAACTGCAGCCAGCTATAAATATGCGAGAGGAGCCGCTGTCTTCAGATCCAACTCTGTCTAATGTTGCTGTGGATAATGATCAATACGTTCCAAGTTATGAAGAAGTAATGGATTATCCAGCGGGCTCTCGTTAAATCGCTCACCCGAATCATACCTACAGTAAAAACGTTTATATGATTCCTAAATCAAAATACGTGTTAGTTATTTGTAATATTTCTATCGCCGACCAAATAGAGTGGATGGAGGGCTAATATTCCCTAATCAAAACATTTCGCGCCCGCAGAGAACACAACATTGGAGGCTTCTAGAGTTCTAGTGGACCAGATCGCCATTTTGGATTATGAAAAGGTCGATTTGTTTACTTGATAAGTCTGAATATCGAAATTTTATTGATCAGTATCATGGTTCGTTTTAATTTTAATGTTTTAGCAGCAGTACTTCCTTATTGGAGAACAAAGTATTACATTTTTCTATATTAGTATGTTGATAGCATGTAGCAATTACTTAAAGTAAGTCGTGTGTTTATTTAATTTCTTGCCGGTAATTTAACTCCCTCGTAGGAATATTATAAAACTCGACAATATCATATTCTATTGTACTTTTTGTCTTTTGAGGTTGCCGAGATAATAACTTGCTATAATGCTTATTTATTCACTATGCATTGCTATTTTTGTGATTACAATATTATCATCTATAACAGTGTAACCACTAACCAGTTCATGTTATTGACCCACAATTAACAGATCAGATTTAGCACACATCATGAGTGTTATATTACGTAAAACAGTCAATCAAGTTATGTAATTCTCGTTTAGTTCTCTTTATTATAATTATATCGGATTCAAATAAAAATAACGTACTTTGTAAGAAAGAAACAAATTAATCAAATAATAAGTCAAGCAATAAAATAAAATAAAAGTCGAACTAAAATGGCCAAAGTTTTATCAAATTCGCCGGAAGGAAACCAAATTATGTGCCATTCTCGAATTAAAACCCACAATTTGGTTTCCTTTCTGTGAATTTAATTTAATTTTTCCCTCGCACGCTTTGAAAGTTAAGCGAAGCCGCAAAGTCCGTTTGTTTCTCCCCCCGAGAATTCATTGACAACTTATCCCGTTTTGATGATCGAACACAGAACAGCTACAGTTATATCCACATTTGTCAACTCCGAAAGCCTGGATTGTAATTGTAAATGTATCAATATGCTATGGAAAAACTATAATTTTATAAAATAGCAATATAAATTAAAATAAGCTTTTAGTTTTACAGCTTAGGTATTGTTTTGTGAAACTTGATTTCGAGATAACGGTGCGCGCAGGGCAGCCACGCCCATATTTGGTCCAAATTAGGCCCGATTTAGCCAAATACCCTGAACATACCCAAACCCCAGGTTTATGGTGCTCTACGTGTAGCTAATGGTCTCTTAATTGAACTCGTATATATGAAATTTCATCAAGATTGGACAAAAATGACTGAGTTATGAGCCAAAAACCATATGCCCATATTTGGGCATACGCACCAAATTTGGTAGAATTCGTCCCATAAATTGGTCAAATATCAATATTTTTGAATGAGACTTACTTTATATGAAAGGTAAGCCTAAACTGCATATTCTCTGTAAGTTTTAGCTTAATATCTGTTCAAATGTGAATACTAAGGCAAAAATACCACAAAAAAGAACAAAAAAATTGGCGGCCGGGCATTGGACCAAATATAGGCGTGGCTGCCCCGCAGGCAATGTTTGGCGGTTGGGGTCCGGGACCCCCTCTAAAGTTCGGTCACTGGTCCTAGTTTATCGGTCAATTGCTATAAAAAATTCAGGATTTCGATTATTATGACCAAGAAGATGTGGAGGGCTGTGTTGCTAGATGGTGCATTAATTTGAGAAAAGGACTGAATATGGACGACCGGGACATACATTTCTCTATCCATGAAAATATAATGGTTAATATGGTAATAAAATAAACAGACTCAGCGGTAGACTTCGTCTGACAGCAGACTAGGACGCATGAAATGAGCATCATGATGGAGACAATTGAGAGCTTCAAGACGGAAGCGCTAATAGACAAGGCAAAAGGACTGCTGCTGGTTTTGCATAAGATTACGGTTGAGGGGACAGTGCAAACTGAAACAGCGGTTATAGAGTCAAGAATTCACAGCTTCAGTGCAGGTGTACAAAAAAACAATGCAAGTAATATGATCCATAGTTGGTTCGTGCGCACTAAATGCAATTTTAAAACCGAACACACTTAATTACTCACGAACACTGATCCTTTGTGGATGGCCGCTCAATTTCCCGATCCGCGATGGCGTTTTTTATTATATTCCATACAACAGCTTGGGACCCCAGTCTTTACTGTTTATAAACGCAGCATCACAGCATGCAGATATGGCGGAGTGACAGGCCGAGCGCCGCCCAGTTAATATATAATTCCATATTGAATTTGAAAATCGTGTATATTTCTATCATCTATGTAACCATATGTTTATTGTTTATGCTACCTGACACGGATCTGTGCAAAATAGTAATACTAACTCAAAATTATAGTAGAGATGCTATCAATTAGTGCCTACCTTACAAGACATATTTATAACGTACGAAATGTGGCGGTTTTCCGAAGATTTCGCCATATTTTCGGACCGCCAAAATTTCGGTCGTCGTAATAGAATCCGTCGCATTATCTTTTAGCTTATTTCAATGACTGTGCCTTCACTGCTTTATTTTGTTTCTAAAAAGTAATATCAAGTAAAATAAATAAATAAATTCTGGCATCTTGGGACAAATATCACCACACCAATGACGAATTGAATGTCAAGCAATACAGTTTAAATTTGCATTAAAATACATGTATGTGCTAACATGAAAGTCTTACAGTCTTAATACAGACTAAGTTTGAACATGATTTTACCGAATTTCAGAAATTTCCTTACTGCTTATTGTCACAAAAAATGATGAAAAATACCCTTATTTTCGGTGACGTCCGAAATTTGACGGTTTTTGTTCAATTTCGCCATATTTTCGGACCGCCAAAATTTCGGTCGTCGCAAATTAGGCCGCCATAAATATGTCTTGTAAGGTAGTGGGATACGTACAATACATCAACATGGTGAAATTAACAATGTACTTGGTCAGTTCCTGTTCAGCACCGCGCGCCGAAAATTGTTTAATTCAGATGATCGCGCAAAATAACTTTGCGCAGGTATACTTTGAACGTGGCGATAACAATGGATCGTGTTGAGCTGATCACTTCTCTTTGACTGTTTCTTTTTTACGCACTGTCTGGCGAGCTCCTGCGTTTGCGTTTGATCTCTCGTTACCTGCTCGTCTTTCTGCTATAATGCATGCCACCAAAGGAAAGGAGTGGAATGCTGTTATTATTGTTCAGAAAGGGAAAGGGAATCAACAGAACAAAGCAAGATGTCTCTACTGCAACTACGAATTTATTGCAACTGCGACAATGTGACTATATGATAACTGGGTAACTCGGTAATCTGCCGATGCACATCTGGGGCACACCTCGGGCACACCTGGGGCACAAACTCGGGCACACCTCGGGCACACCTCGGGCACACCTGGGGCACAAAGTTACCGATAACTGACATTTAACAGTCATAAAAGATTTTTGATTGTTTCCAAAAAATAAACCGCTCTTTAAACGCACGAACAAATCTTCACGAACTAATTGCACTCTTCCTGGAAAAGTAACGCATGAACCAACTATGGTATGATCTGCAATAGTAAAACGTAAAAAACGACTGCAGAGGAGGACAGTAGCAGAAACCTGATTGTGTTTGGGTTAAAAGAAGAAGAGGAAGAACAGCTTCCAGCTCTGGAAACCGCAGTTTTGGAAGAGATCGGGATGAAACTTTATTTCGAAGCGACAAGAGTCCGCTGGAAGAGGCCAGGTACGGCTATCCAACCAGTCAAGATCACCGTCCCAGCTCAACAGCAGTTCGTCAGATTGTGATGAAAAAAGGGGGACTGAGGCTAGTTGAAATTCACAAAGATGTACGGATATGATCCTGATAAATCAAACGAAGAGTGTGCAGCAAGGATTCAAGGAAGCATCGGGTTACTGACCTGAAGAAGAGGAGGGCTGAATTTTATGTTGATATTTGTTCTAATTTATAGTCATTTGTGCTTTCATGATATTTTAAATGATTTCTCGTTGTTTTGATATTTGTTTTTGTTCAGTAATTTGTTGTAAAATGTTTTATTATTTATTCGTAAGAGTCCTCAATTTCCTCGCGTCCTAAGCTATAAGATGGCGGTTGTCTTGTTGCATATGTAAGTATCTTAGGACGTTTTCTGACGTTATCTGTATTTTAAAGACACTCATATCTACATTCAATACATTTCGATTGTTTTCACACTTGTCACAATTCGTTATTTTATTCCTAGGTGGAAATGATGTTATTGTGACTTTGTGCGGCCATCATATAACTTTTGTTTTGAAAGTTGTCTTTTGTGCTTGCATTACTGACCCACGCTTTTTAAAATATAATTATACTTATATAAATTTTGACTGAATTTATAAATATATGATTATGCTTGTTCAAATTAATACTGTCAATTTTTTATTTGATGGGTTGCATGGTTATTCCGTTATGGGGTTGATGGGGATGGGAGCATGGTGGTAATGAATCAAGAAAAATACGAAATTGTTGAACGAGGTGATAACAACACATTTTTATAATTTTATTTTGACCCATGTTTTATAATCAATCCGTTATCTAGCTTCGTGTAAATGGAAGTTCGGCGAACAATATTACATAACAAGATGATAGGATTGACGATACTTCGGTTCTTTTGCGATAGTCAAAACGCGACAACTAGCGCTGGATGGCGACAACTAGCGCTATCCAGCGCTAGTTGTCGCCATCCAGCGCTAGTTGTTGCTATCCAGCGCTGGATAACGCTGGCCAGCGCAAAATATATATGTTCGATAATTGTCGCTATCCAGCGCTAGTTGTCGCCATCCAGCGCTAGTTGTCGCCATCCAGCGCTAGTTGTCGCTATCCAGCGCTAGTTGTCGCTGGCTATGCGACACTGTCGCACGCGATAGTTTGCGATGGCCATCGATTGCTAAGCAATAGCCAGCGCTGGCCATCGATATCCAGCGCAAAATTTTTGCGCTATTACTCGTCAGCTAGCGCTGGCCAGCGCTAGTTGTCGCTATCCAGCGCTAGCCAGCGCTGGCCAGCGCTAGTTGTCGCTATCCAGCGCTAGCCAGCGCTAGCCAGCGCTAGCCAGCGCTAGCCAGCGTTAGCCAGCGTTAGCCAGCGGTAACCAGCGGTAACCAGCGCTAGCCAGCGCAATGTATCAAAATCATATACTTGCGATATTACTCGGATGATGATTATAGTAGAGGCTCTTACGGGCATTGTCTGCTCGATACGCTAGGGACCCCAGATACACCTTACTAGTCGTATTTTTGACCGTAGAATCGATTAAAAGTAGTTTCAAAATGATTGGACTGAGTTAGCACCGTTAAAATTGCAAAAAACCGATTTTGGGGCCAAAAATAGGCCAAAAAAGCATGTTTTTTGATAATTTGAGCAAGTTAATTTTGTTGGCATGTCGGCAAAATTTGCATGAAGGTAGCTAAAAGACAGCCGCACAAGATGGTATAAAAATAAAACAAATCCCTCTATTTTAGTGCAGGTAAAAATCCAAAAAAGTGGTAAAAATTTTGACTTTTTTGCTTGAAGTTTGAATAATTTTTTGCAGTTGTATTAAATCAATCCAAAAATAGTCACATCGTGTTTGCCTAAATTTTTCCTTTCCGAGAAGTACCCACTTCATATACTTTATCGAAGTTTGAATATTGTCACTCCGCAAGCGTTTTTGCCAAATTTTCGACGCGCACTACGCGCAAAAGCATTTAGTTGTTATCAATTGGCACCCGCGCGTTCATCATAAATTTCAAACAGCTATAACTCAGCGAGATTATGTCCGTTCTAGCTCATATTTTCACACCAAATAGAAAATAATGTGATCTTATTGCTGACAAAATATGAATATAATTACTCTATTTGCCTTAGACTAATAGACTGTCAAAGTTTAAAACGCGCATTGGTATAGCACGTGACTAATAAGGCCAAATTTATACTTCTTAACATATTATTGATCCTTAGACATCATACTATTGTGTCCAATTAGCGGTTAGGTCTCTAAACTCGTAGCAGAAAACACGTCTTTTTGCCCGTAAGAGCCTCTACTATTAATCACTTTACACTTGACTGTCATGTGCCTTTTTTAATCCATTCTCTGACTCTATATTATATGGTTCTGAACGACTTTTCGAAACCCCAACCCTCTAAGTATAATCTGATCCCAACCCTAACCCTAACCCAATCCTTAACAAAAACATATGCTGAAACCCTTTCAATAACGAGAAATTAGACTAACTTCCTTATACGGTCATATCACGTGATCGATACATGTACAGTTTTTCGCCAATATCTCGTCAGGAGAGCAAATTAACCCTATGTCATGGGCCCATGGGGGTTGATTCGGAATTAGCGTCCGAAAATACATCGATTGAAGTTGGACAAAACCATCGGGGGCCCTTTTAGAACAATCTCGAAGATCGACTGTAGAGTGATTTAGCACGCTCAATATTAGTATTACTCGTCAGCCAGCGCTGGCCAGCGCAATATAGTTGCGATATTACTCGTCAGCTAGCGCTGGCCAGCGCTGGCTAGCGCTGGTTAGCGCTGGTTAGCGCTGGCTAGCGCTGGTTAGCGCTGGCTAGCGCTGGCCAGCGCTGGTTAGCGCTAGCTGACGAGTAATAGCGCAAAAATTTTGCGCTGGATATCGATGGCCAGCGCTGGCCAGCGCTGACTATCGCTTAGCGCTGGCCAGCGCTGGCCAGCGCTAGTTGTCGCTATCCAGCGCTAGTTGTCGCCATCCAGCGCTAGTTGTCGCGTTTTGACTATCGCAAAAGAACCGATACTTCTTCTCTGCCCAGATACTTTTGAAGGTGAGTCAGAGTGAATCAATAAATTTTTGCAGGTTAATGATGACATGATGAATAACTATAAGATATTCCACATAGATTGCACAAGATTAACAAAATAGTAGATGACATAGTCTTTTCATATCATATGCCACATTCAATGACTTAGATTAAACTTAGCAAGACATAATAAATATTCAACCTTCTAAAACGTGATATATAGTTCTTCTATCTATCATCATTTTACAGCGAGGCTTGACCCGAGCTGCTTTAAAGCCGACTTAAGGGCAGTTGGACCTGTCTTAAAAGAAGTTGAATACTCTTCAGATAAAGCATGTATGAATATCTGTATCGCTACATCGAGGTAAGTTTTGATAATTTTAAGTACTTTATAACATCAAAGTATATAATTTGTTACTCTTTGAATTCTTTTTCATCATTAGTGGCATAGTGCCACTTATAACCAAGCTTTGCCTTTTTGTTGCAGGTTGACAATGGTGACTTGACCATTTTTGAGCCATATTACACACGTGCAACGAGCGTTACATGTAGAAGACTCACATGCAGTAGTTCCACAGGAGTGCTTATAAAACTGACTATAAAACTGCTATAAAAACCTAACAATCAGTATTAATTTCTCCAGCTGTTTGGCGGCGGTAATTAGTCCAAAGCTTTTGGATGTGACAAGTTGTTACGCTATTGGTGAGTACACTCTGTCCGATGATAATGCATATGCTTGGTACACTGCAGAAAGACGATGCTTGGAAACCAAAACCCCTACTAACACATCTACTAACCCTGATCCTAGTAATGAAATATTTAATAATAAATAAACATGCTCTGCTCTAACATATAAGGAAACTATATAAGGATAACAAATTTCTGCCGAATACAACTTCGCAGAAATTTAACTTTGGAAAATTCCAAAACTCTATGCATGACGCTGTTTATTTCAACCAATTAGTGGACAGGAATTATTTAGATGTATCACTATCACGCGTGCAATGAGTCAGTACTTTGACGCGCGGGAATTTAAACTCGATGTGAAGAAATAAACACTTTAAGGGGGGGGGGGGGGGGGGGGGGGGGGGGGGGGGGGGCAATGGGTATTTTTTTGTGAAACTTGTTTTCGAGATAGCAGTTGGCCAACAAACTAAAACCAGTGACCGAACTTTTGAGGGGGTCCCGGACCCCAACCGCCAAACGGTGCCCGCGGGGCAGCCAAGCCCATATTTGGTCCAAATTAGGCCGAATTTAGTCAAATACCCTGAACATGCCCCATACCCATATTTTATGTGCTCTACTTGTAGCTACGGGTAAACCCCCCCTAAAATGTCACCCACCCCTAAAACGCCACTCTTGATTGATTGGATCCCATCTTCTTAGAAAGTATCTTACCTAATCATTTGTAACTCCTAAACATAAAAAATATCATTCAGACCCTGCCACATCCTGAAATTGAATCTAAATGATGCCATAAGGGCATTTTTTTCACTTTGTACGAATTTTTTACTTTTGAAAAAAAGCGCACAATTTTATAACTCTGGAATTCATTAATATTAACTCAGTTTTGGTCTAGGATAGTGATATTTACATATTTTAGCAACTTTGTACATATGACTGGAGATATGGAAAGTTATACATTACTCAATATTACTACCCTCCCCTAAAATGTCACCTGGCCGCCCCCTAAAATGTCATTTTATCAGATTCTGGCTTTGAGACTACAAGCACCATAAAATGGAGGTACCACTCATACCAGCCTATTAAACATCATATTTAACATCTAATTGTAATATTGGAAGGCTTTGGCAGCTCAAGGAATTAGTTTTATTTTATTAATCGCAATAAACATCCCCTAAAATGTCTAATTATCCCCCCTAAAATGTCAGTTTAACCTGATCAAATTACTCAGGCTTTTCCTAAGATGCAATGCATTGCTACATACAAGAACAGCTCCTTCCAGCCAAATTTATCTCAATCTGGCCTAGAAAATGCCAATAAGTCAATAAAAGTTCAATTTAAAATAAATTTAAAAATTACGAATATTTAAAAAATTCAATGATCTTCACACAACATAATTTTTCCGCAAACAGGCCTGTGTAACCAGTCCCTACTCACAGTTCGTTAATAGTTGATGTTAATAATTAACAAGTGCCAAAACAAGAGCTATTATCGCACACCATGCGAACAAAATACAAATTTGACATTTTAGGGGAGAAAAAAAAGACATTTAAGAGGGCATATCATAGGTTTACCATAAACTAGTAGTTTTTGACAGTCTATAGAGAAGGTCAGATCGATTACTGGGTTGGCTTAGTTAACTACAAGTCACTAAAATTGCCAAGATGCAGGATGATGTTAAAAATCTCAAAAAATGCAATTAAAACATGCAATTTGCACAAGGTTAAAATCGAATTGAATCCATGTCTTTTGTGCCAATTGTTAGTTTATAACTAGATAATCCAACTACAGGTGTAAATTTTGTTGACTGATCTAGGTAAACTATAGGTAAAAATATAATATTAATCATAAGCTAAAATGCAAATGTACTAATCTTTGTATTCTAAATGGGGAAAAGAAGAAACATTGTCAGTCAGTCGAGAAAATTGTCAGTCAGGCTATATGGCAGCTTTGTAGATGTTGTGACAATGCTAGTAGTGGTCCCAGGCTTGCGACTGGAATTGCGGTGTTAAATCGATTTAACGGTATACCAACGATCCACCTCCCACTTGTTGTTTGGTACTTAGCATTAATAGTGTTAGCTGTAGCCATTTATAGCAAGAATCTTAAAACTAAAGGGGATGACAAGGAAAAGAGGAAGGAAAAAGAATAACGGAACAAACAATTAATTAAAGTATTTACAGGAGCATTAGTTATTGTAATTACAAGCTTCAATAATAAATCACTGACTAAAACATCTACCTTACTCGGGAATATTATAGCGGGTTAATTTATGACTGGGAAAATTAATAACCGGGAAAAATATGGCGGAATTTCCCAAAACCCGCCAAATTATCCCGGTCATGTATTTACCGGTGGCCGACCTTTCAAGTTTTTTTTCAGAGGTCAACAAATTTTCAACCGAAATTTCTGTTTTTGTTACTTGTTAAAGAAGTTATTTCAATTTACAGTTACTGATATTACTCAGAAATAGAAAAAAAGACACGTCTAGTATTTAAAGGAAAATAAATCTATAGCAATAATAAGTCAAATCTTCATTAAAGCGTATTCTCATTCTCATTATCGCTAATGTCCCCTCCATTATCATTATTGATATCCCCGGCCTGCTGCTGACCGTCGTTGTCTTAACAAGACTTTCATTTTGTCCGCTAATGGGGCTACTGCTCTGAAGGTCAGCCGGAGCTTAATTTCCTGCCCACCGCTTGGTATTGGGGAACATCTTGGCTTTGCATCTTCAACTGCTCCAGTAATCAATCCACCGTGGACCATGAAATAGTGGCACAGTTTACTCACTTCATGGGCAAGAAAAGTGAGAATCACGGTCCACCCTGAAATCTGATTTCTATAACCAAATTGTGATTTTTATAACGAAATTATGGTAGCAACCGCCAATAAAGTTACAGCCCTCCATCCACTGCTTCAAAAGTCTTCTCTAGCACATATGAGACTTCAGGTAAAATATGATGATCACCACCCCCTTGGAACCCCATAATCTGAGTCGGCGGGTTTTTTTATGACTGGTAAAATTTTTGACCGGGAAAAATATGGCGGAATCTTCCAAAACCCACCACTTTATCCCGGTTATAATAATCCCGAGTAAGGTAATTAAAATGACACTTGGTACGCTCGCCCATTTTCACTGGTCATTCTGAACTTCGGTTTAGCACGTTCGCGTTGTACACTTATTCACCTAAGTTTCAGAATTTTTTTTTCAGTTTAGCAGAGTTAGTACCCGTGTTTTGCCGTAAGTTCTGGGTATTCAAAAAAAAGTCCCCAAAATGTCACAAAAAGTAAATTGACTAAATTCCACCATTTTTTTCAATAGAGAGAGAAATTCTGGTCGACACCTCTTAGAAATAGGTTATATTAGTCCCAATTTCAATCTTGATGAAATTTCATATACGAGTTCAGGTGACCACTAGATACAAGTAGAGCACATAAAATATGGGTGTGGGGCATATTCAGGGTATTTGGCTAAATTCGGCCTAATTTGGACCAAATATGGGCGTGGCTGCCCCGTGGGCACCGTTTGGCGGTTGGGGTCCGGGACCCCCCCCCCCCCCCCCTTAACTAATAAAACTCTCAGTTCGTAGGGTTTCTAGGATATATGGTACAAAATATCAAAATTACTTTTGTTACCGTGCGCCGTGCAGACGTATATTCTTAATTCCAAAATTAAAGTTTTCTGGATTTATTACTTTTATAACTTAACTACTTTTTAAATCATATTTATTTTTCAGATCCAGGTTTTACTTTACGCAACAAAAATGGACTTGAACGGCGGCTTCCACAGCGCGTTCCTAAGAGTAAGTCTCCACCTCCTGCTGCTGTAAAGCGATATCAAGGTATATACCATCTTACCATATTCATATTAATAATTTTACCAAAAAACCCATTAATATTATTGGGTAGAGTGGACTGTTGCCAGTGTCTCCCTTCCCAAACAAAACGAAATGATATCAAATTGAATAACAAACCAACTCAAATGTATTAATGCCCCTGGATATGGCAATTTTGGCATTTGGGGTTTTGCCAAATTATATAGCTATTCTTTATTATATTTATTGTCATCTTTAAGATTGAATTAGAGTATTTTAAACTAAAACTACACCATAAACCTGCTGAATGACATCTGATGAGTCTAAGTGAACAAAAAAATAGTCATGTACGTACGTGGGTATAATAGTAAAAGGGGTATATTGGCTGACGGTCGTGCTTGCCAGTACTGTGATACCTTTCAATGAATAATTATCAACTATTCCCACAGATATCGGAACTGCATGTGAAGAAGGATATTGGAAGTGCTCGGACGGTGAGAAGTGTATTGATGAGCGCTTTGTATGTTCTGGAGTTACAAAATGTTACGATGGGTCAGATCAAACAGACTGCTCAGGTTGAGTATCTACAATCATATTTGTGAATTTGACCAAAACCCATAATCATGGGTAGAGTGGACCGCTGCCAGTGTCTCTCTTTCCCAAACAAAAGGAAATGATATTAATTTGATTGACCGTTTTCAAATGCAAAATGATACCGAGAATGAAATCGGTCGCTCGCTTTTCCCATTCATTCACGGCTTATAGTTATACGAATTGTAATAGGTTTCGATAAATTACATCGATCACTGTATGCTGTAATAATCTCTTTGGGTTGCGTTCGGGTCGATACCTAGTATTTCGGGATAAGGGTGGTAGTTAGTGAATTAGCTGAAGTTTATTGAATCTTTATTGCCGAGTACAGCTGTCTTCGGGTATGGTAGTTCTTCTTAATCTATTACATTTGTAATTGTAAATGAATGGGAAAAGCGAGCGACCGATTTCATTCTCGGTATCATTTTGCATTTGAAAACGGTCAATCAAATTAATATCATTTCCTTTTGTTTGGGAAAGAGAGACACTGGAAGCGGTCCACTCTACCCATGATTATGGGTTTTGGTCAAATATCATCTCTTTTTTATTAATGTCAGGGTACTTTATAAAGTCGAAATATAAACTGATATCTTCATTAATAAGGAGGAAGTTTCAACGATTTCGAAATTTTTCCTTTGAAAACATTTCCTTGTGTTTGGGTAAGCATATCGGTCGATCACTGACTGAATTTGCCACTTTATACTCATTTAAGTTGGCATTAAATTTATATATAATGACATTGAACTGTCGTGGTAAAGCAGAATTTGTTCGAAATCACGAATGAGCAAAATTATCACCTTTCGCACGTGCAAACTATGAGCGGACGTTGCGTGCGCATCCAATATTGAATCGCCGTTAATTTTTGCGTGTTGGTGTTTTATATATAGTTTGATAAGCATGCAAAGTTTCAAAGTATTTCAAGAAGAACTGTAATCACCACGGCACACCAAAGTTTACAGAAAATGGTAAAAACAGCAATTTTTAGTGATTTTAGTAATTTTTAATCAATTTGGGCGTGTCCCCACGTGTGCATCTTTTCGATTTTTAACTTCAAACCTAGCCTAATGCACAATTTATACCTATAAGAAGCAGAACTGAGCTCCACAACCCAAGGGATAGCCCAACACCAGAGAATACTAAATCGCAAAATTGAAGTTTTTATAAAATAATTCTTCAAAAAAGCACTAACTTCAATGGCAAATATCTTTATGAAGGAGCAAGGTAGGGAAACTTTCCGGTAGATTTTCAGAATGCTTAAACAATTATCTAACTTTAATATGTCCTCAAATTTTGAATAAAATTACTCTTTAATGGCGTAAAATCGATTTTAAAAGTGATTACTTTGTAAAAAAACAGGTTTTTAAATGGTTAACTTGATGACGTCATCAAGTGGTAATGATGACGTTAAATTACTTTTTAATATAATGTAAACTAAATTCTAAACAATTATCTTCAAGACCTGTGGTCCGAGATGGCTGTATCTTTAAAGCTTCTGAATCTACGGACACCTGAATATAGCCTATAATTTACTGGCAAAGCGTCTATCCCTGAATATATATGTATATCTGTATTTGACCAAAACCCATAATCATGGGTAGAGTGGACCGCTGCCAGTGTCTCTCTTTCCCAAACAAAAGGAAATGATATTAATTTGATTGACCGTTCTCAAATGCAAAATGATACCGAGAATGAAATCGGTCGCTCGCTTTTCCCATTCATTCACGGCTTACGAATTGTAATAAGTTTCGATTGATTAGGTACATCAATCATATGCTGTAAAAATCTCTTTGGGTTGCGTTCGGGTCGATACCTAGTATTTCGGGGTAAGGGTGGTAGTTATTACTTATTGAATTAGCTGAAGTTTATTGAATCTTTATTGCCGAGTACAGCTGCCTTTGGGTAGTTCTTTTTAATCTATTACAAATGTAAATGAATGGGAAAAGCGAGCGACCGATTTCATTCTCGGTTTCATTTTGCATTTGAGAACGGTCAATCAAATTAATATCATTTCCTTTTGTTTGGGAAAGAGAGACACTGGCAGCGGTCCACTCTACCCATGATTATGGGTTTTGGTCAAATATCATCTCTTTTTGATTATAATGTCAGGGTACTTTATAAAGTCGAAATATAAACTGATATCTTCATTAATAAGGAGGAAGTTTCAACAATTTCGAAATTTTTCCTTTAAAAACATTTCCTTGTGTTTAGGTAAGCATATCGGTCGATCACTGACTGAATATGCCACTTAATACTCATTCAAGTTGGCATTAAATTCATTTATATTGACATTAAACTGTCGTGGCAAAGCAGAATTTGTTGGAAATCACGAATGAGCAAAATTCTCACCTTTCGCACGTGCAAACTTTGAGCGGACGTTGCGTGCGCATCCAATATTGAATCGCCGTAAATTTTTGCATGTAATTGCTTTATATATAATTTGATAAGCATGCAAAGTTTCAAAGTATTTCAGAGAACTGTAATCACAACGGCACTCTAAAGTTGACAGAAAATGACGAAAACAGCAATTTTCAGTGATTTTAGCAATTTTCTATCAATTTGGGCGTGTCCCCACGTGTGCAAATTTTCGATTTTTAACTTTAAAACTAGCCTAATGCACAATTTATACTTATAGGAAGCAGAACTGAGCTCCACAACCCAAGGCATGGCCCAACACCAGAGAATACTAAATCGCAAAATTGACGTTTTTATAAAATAATTCTTCAAAAAAGCACAAACTTCAATGACGAATATCTTTATGAAGGAGCAAGCTAGAAAAACTTTCCGGTAGATTTTCAGAATGCTTGAACAATTATCTAAGGTAAAAATTTCCTCAGATTTTGAATACAATTACTTTTTAATGGTGTAAAATCATTTTTAAAAGTTATTACTTTGTCAAAAATCAAGTTTTAAAAACGCTTAACTTGATGACGTCATCAAGGGGTGTCCATGACGTCAAATAATTTGTTTATTCAATGTAAACTAAAGTGTAAACAATTATTTTCAAGACCTAATAATAATCTAATAATATAATAATATAATTACAGCACTGTGATATCTGTATATGTCCCGACAATCTGTCGTAAAACAGGGGTTCTAGAAAACACATTTCCCGATGCTCCTGAAACTTGAAACTTTTTTTGCAGTCGATTTGGTCAACGTCTAGACGCCCTGAAAAATTTCAGATCTCTAACTCAATTTTAACATGGTTTTTAAGGCACCTGAATATGGCGATTTTGGGTTTTTTACCGAATTTCGTATAACAGTGCTGGCGAGTATTTTATGCAAATTTCTTAAAAATCTCAACATAACTATTTTTTATTCCTATCATCTTTGACATCAAATTAGAATGTTTTGAACTAAAAATAAATCTGCTGAACGACTTCCGATGAGTCTTAATGCCTGAAAAACTCCGGCCGGAGTGCACGCTTCGCGTGCACGAAAGAGGCTTGTAACGTGTACCAAAGGGGGTATTATAGTAAAGGGGGTTTAATAGTAAAGGGGGTATAATAGTAAAGGGGGTATAATAGTAAATGGGGTACATAGTATACCCACAATAAATGCAACGGTCGTGCTTGCCAGCACTGTGATATCTGTATGTGTCCCGACAATCTGTCGTAAAACAGGGGTTCTAGAAAACCCATTTCCCGATGCTCCTGAAACTTGAAACATTTTTTGCAGTCGATTTGGTCAACGTCTAGACGCCCTGCAAATTTTCAGATCTCTAACACAATTTTAACATGGTTTTTAAGGCACCTGAATATGGCGATTTTGGGTTTTTTACCGAATTTCGTATAACATGCTGGCGCGTATTTTGCGCAAATTTCTTAAAAACCTTCACATAACTATTTCTTATTCCTGTCATATTTAACATTAAATTAAAATGTTTTGAACATAAATATACCTGCTGAACTACTTTCGATGAGTCTTAATGCCTGAAAAACAATAAAGGGGTATAATAGTAAAGGGGGTATAAAAGTCAAGGGGGTAAATAGTGAAGGGGGTAAATAGTAAAGGGGTTAAATAGTAAAAGGGGTAAATAGTAAAGGGGGTAAATAGCAAAGGGGGTAAATAGTATTGTGAATATAAAAGGCACGGTCATGCTTGCCAGCATTGTGATTTTCTATCAAGTTTTATTTTTATAATAACTTATTATTATTACAAAAATTCTATAGTGTTATGTCTTTATTCAACGAATAATTATCAACTACTGACACAGAGAGAGAATGCCAAGGAAATCAAATGGAGAAGTGCGCGGACGGTGAACAATGTATAGATGCTGGCTGGGTATGTACTGGATTTACACAATGTTACGATGGGTCAGATCAAACAGATTGCTCAGGTTGAGTATCTACAATCATATTTGTGAATTTTCTATCAAGTTGTATTTTTGAATAAAAATAATAATAATAATAATAATTTATTTGTATAATTTGTGATTGTTTCTCCCGGTTTTCTTCTCTTGCGTAGCAAGCCCTGTCTCTTGTAAAAACAACCTCGAAAGATTTGTAGATACACATAGTCTCTACACCTTTACCCTCTGGTCCCTAGGGTCAGCTGATCCCGGGCCAGAGGAAAACTACCGACTGCCAAGGTTTGACGCCTAGGCAGTCGAGACCTCTTATTGAGACCCTTTATAATAATAATAACTAAAAATTTATACATCGCTTTATCATTTATAGCCAAAAAGAACTCAAAATCCAAAGATTCAGTTTAAGCCATCTAAAGCGACTCATGAACATGTACATAAGAACTTAGCATTTTATGAAGTATGGTTTGTATGATAAAGATATTATATGATAGTTATAATAATAACTTATTATTGTTACAAAAATTCTAATTCTATAGTGTTATGCCTTTAATCAACAAATAATTATCAACTACTCACACAGAAAGAGAATGCCATGAAGATAGTGAGAAGTGCTCGGACGGTGAGCAATGTTTCCACCCTTCCTGGGTATGTACTGGATTTACGCGCTGTAACGATGGGTCAGATCAAACAGACTGCTCAGGTTGAGTATCTACAATCATATTTGTGAATTTTCTATCAAATTGTATTTTTATAATAACTTATTATTCTTACAAAAATTCTATAGTGTTATGCCTTTATTCAACAAATAATTATCAACTACTGACACAGAGAGAGAATGCCAAGGAAATGACATGGAGAAGTGCGCGGACGGTGAGCAATGTATATATGCTAGCTGGGTATGTACTGGAAATACGAATTGTAACGATGGATCAGATGAAACAAACTGCCCAACGTCAGGTTGAGTGTCTACAAACTTACCTTATCGGACCTTATTTGGACGGACATTACTTGAACGCTGGAGGCCCTAGCGTTCATCTTAATATCCGTTCAAATAAAGTCCGTTCAATTAATGTCCGTCCAAGTTAAAGTCCGTTGAAATTTTTTCAAAAATTTTTCCATTTCGAACTTTTTACCCAGAATATGACAACTATGAGAACTTTATTGTGCCGTAAGTTAACGACGGAAAGTTTCTCCTTGGTCCGCCGGAGGCACAGAAAACTTTACTAGTATATGATGTTTTCAAGGGTCACTTGGCGGAAAAAGTCAACGAAATTATGGCACTCAACAACATAGTTCATGAGCTAGTCCCCGCCAACATGACAAACTTGTTCCAGCCTCTAGATATTACGGTAAATCGTGTTGCCAAGGACATTGTCCGACGTTGTTATAGTTTATATTACTGAGGGGAGGTAATGAAACAGTGCTAGGAAAGCTCCACGTGATGTTAAGGTTAACCTAAAGTTGTCTAAGATAAAACCACTTCACGCCGAATGGCTTGTAAAAGTTAACACTGAAATGCAATACCGGGGTAGTTTGATAAAAAAAGGTTTCCACAAAGCTAGAAATCACTGATGCTTGTTTAAGCATGGACTATTTCATGCACGAAAACCTATTTAATGAAGATGATATGTGATATTAGACACTCATCATGTACACATATTTTAACATTTTTACTGCTTAATGACTGCTTTTCTTACTTACTGTATAAAAAATGGATTAAAAAATCATTTGCTGAAATTAAAAAACGTCAAAAAATTGAAAACAATTCAGATTTTTGATGGTTTTGAATGCCTTCGAGCGTTCATATTAATGTCCGTTCACAATTCTGTCCGTTCATGTAATGTCCGTTCAAATAAGGTCCGATAAGGTATTTGTAAATTTGCTATCAAATCGTATTACAATTTGTATAATAGCTTATAGCTTTATAATTGTCGCGAAAATGTCGATTTTCAACAAATGATGATCAACTACTCCCACAAAGAAAGTTTCCTGAATTTATTACTTTTACAACTCAACTACTTTTATAATAATACTTATTTTTCAAAATGCAGGATCACCTTCTTCCCCTTCTTCTCCTTCTTGGACGACCTCTTTCTTGGACGACCCCCAAGGTAAATACCATATATATTCATATTAATCATAGATATCGGCAACAGACTTCTGGAGTCTTAGAGATCTGTTACCTTGACACACGCTACAGGTTGAGTGTCTACAAACTTATTTGTAAATTTTCTATCAAATCATATTTAAATTTTTTCCCGATCCATGACTCAAAGTGCAGAAGGCACAAAAGAGTCAAGGAAAATGGTTAGCAAACGAGGTTTTTTGTTGTTGTATATATGGTAGTTTTGCAACCGTCGTGCCTGCGAGCGAGCGCACTGTTATCGCCCACGTTCATACCTGCGCAAAGTTATTTTACACGATAATTTGAATTAAACAAGTTCTACAAACTTATTTGTAAATTTTCTATCAAATCGTATTTTTATGATAACTTATAATTGTCGCCAAAATTTTATAGTGTTATGATTTTCAATTAATGGTGATCAACTGCTCCCACAGAGAAAGTGTTCTGAATTTATTACTTTTATAACTTAACTAATTTTAAAATAGTACTTATTTTTCAGATCCAAGTTTTACTAGTACTTTACCTTACGGAAATCAACTTACAACTTCTTGGAGTTCGACGACAACTCCTGATACTGGTGAGACTTACTCCCAAGGTATATGGACACGTTCATTTGAGTTTGAGGATATTGGTAAATATAAGTGACCTTATTAAAAGGCACAGTGTAGTTGACTTTGTCACACTATGAAATTACACAAACCCTTGATGGTTAGGATAATCGTCTCATCCTTTAGGCTAACTTAGTCACATAACGATATCTTAATCAGGTGATAAGATATCGTTTAAATACGGCCGGCACGGAAATGGTTACATTGTCACACTATAAACATGTGGCAGAGTAAATATGGACCCCTTGCTGCCGTTTTTGACCAAAATTTTGAGTGTCCAGTTGATTGGATGGGTACATATGATATATTTCGTTAGATGGTGCACTCAGGTTTACTCTGTCACACATTTAAGAAAATATGTGAACAATGTTTAGGGAACCCTGATAAGCAATGCTGAGTAGTGTAGGTTTATTTAATGGCCTGGAAGTGCTAGGAATTGTTATTATATCATATAGTCGTAAGGAATTAAAACACAGAAGGCACAAACAAGTTTACTTTGTCACATAATCTTGATGATATCTGAACATGTGTGAAATTGAACAAATAATGATATACCAGCTTAAACCCCTTATATTACGTACTATGGATCAAACAACACTGCTAGTACCATGCACCAGTCACATTAATCATTATCGGGTGGTAATATGTTAACAAATAACAGTGTCACAATTAAACTACCGCAACATGGTCAAAAATAGGGTAATTTTGTCACAAAAAATTATTATAACTCTGTCAGCTCCTTGCTGGCAAAATAACTAGTTTATCGAAATTTTTTGATGATAAAGTCACATAGTATTCTAATAGAGGAATAGTTCTTCAAAATAGGGGCAAGACATGTTTACATTGTCACATCAGTTATTATAAGAGTTAGGTAATCGTCATCAGATTAACCGATCTTTTTCGTAGTATGGATCGATTAATATAGGCAATAAAGCATCCTAATTCCTATGCCAATTTTAACACCTTATCTTGATATTATTGGGGCAGGAAAAGTTAATTTTGTCACATTTTCAGTGTCTTTGACAAATTAATCTAAAATTGTTAAATTTGAGCTCTGATGTTCTGAACAATATTCTACCAATCGTTTCTGAAAGAATGTTGAATTCTAATAGAGTTATAGATCTTCAAAATAGGGGCAAGACATGTTTACTTTGTCACATCAGTTATTATTAGAGTTAGGTAATCGTCATCACATTAACATTTTTTTGTAGTAGTTTGGATTGATTTATTTAGGTAATAAAGCAGCCTATGCTAATTTTTACACACTATCTTGAAATTGTTGGGGCAGGAAAAGTTAATTTTGTCACATTTTTAGTGACTTTGACAAATTTAACCTGTCACATCAGTTATTATAAGAGTTATTATAAGAGACTATTTCATTCTATAATCATTGTTTTTAACCTATTTACGATTTCGTATCATTTTTTGTGACAATGTAAACATCAACTGATCTTAACTTGCATCAACTACATTGTCATCATGTAAAGTTTTCCCGCCTTTCAAACCAAAATCAGATATAAATAATTCGCTCAAAATTTTAAATTCCATATATTGTGACAGAATTAACCTCATTTCCCAATAACCAAGTGCTTGTATTAGCTAACTATTCAAAGCAACATATTTTAGGGCTATGATTGGTACTCCGTACTTGGTAGATCAACCATCAAATAATAAGTAAAAAGGGTTTTGAGGACACCTCGCAGTAGAATAGAGGTATGGTATTCTGAGTGTGACAAAGTTACCTAAATATTGCCTCGTAACCCATCGATCCGTGCCCTTTAACCAATGTTGTATCATAATTGTTAGATTGACCTAATCTACTATGTTTCAGACCAAGGAATGATAATTAGACAACTGCAGTTAACTAAGTCACACAAAATTTGACATTTGAAACATTATAGCGCCTAACAACAGCAGATTTTCTTTCTGAGCAGTGCATATGGGAGTGTGGGTTACGTGGCTAATGTTCAGAACTTCTGAACGTGCTAGGTTAATAGATGTCAAAATTAAGCCAAAAACGCTATTATTTTTGTTTACCAATATCCTCAAACTCAAATGAACGTGTCCATATACTATATACCATATTATTATATCTGTTATAACAGATATAACAGATATAACAGAAATAACAGATATAACAGATATAACAGTTGTCTCTTCTGATATATATATATATATATATATATCTGTTATATCTGTTATATCTTGCTATTTGCAACTGGTATGAGTACATGCAATATTCCTGATGGGTCATGTTAGTTATTTACCTGTGGGAAAGAGCGGTTATGCTGCGGTTCTAAGT